AACTGGAAACTGAAGAAATCAGAATTTAACTGATAAAAATAATTTCGGATTCTAAATATCGCCTTTCTCAGAACAAGCCAATTTGATTTGTCTGAGATCAGAAAAGTTAAAAGAAAAAAGAATTATCTTTGTCAGCTATGCAATTATTTAATTAAAATGATAGGAGTTTAAATGATAGTTTAAAAAATATTTAAACATAGGGTCTTCACATGCTAAAATCACTTATGAAAGTATTTTAGGCTCATTTCACAAAGGGACCAATTTTGCCTTCATTAAAGATCTGTAACGCCCTGACCACAAGCAGTGTGTCTATCCCCTTACCTTTACACAATATGAACTACATGTTGCAATCAGCTGCAATCATAAAGGAAAGTGAAATGAAATATACAAATGTGAAATCTAGTAAGTTTTCTTTTAAATTTTGACCATGAGAGCTGCATACTTTCTCAAGAAGCACACACAGTTCCAAACATCTCCAAAGCTTCGCAGCCTTTTGTAATAACAACACTGCTCTCATTGGCTTGCATTTTGGTAAACAAAACTGCCATGCTAAAAAGCTAGGAACCAGGTGAAACCCCAAACAGCATCAGAATCAACATTTATTTTAAAATAATGCAATTACGTATTCTGGAACACAAAACAGTTTCTCTCATTTATACAGGATGCTTTCAACCTGCTTGATTAGCAAGCACATCTCAGAATGTTCTGTAACATACCAAGTTCAAGTTCAAGCACACCATCCAGTATCTGCAACACAGAATTTTTCTGATGTTAAAAGTCAGCTCAGAAATAAAACTAAAAGCACACAAAATTTGGTGCCAACACTGTAACACAGCAGGATAAGCTGCAGCCTATAAAACTGTATTCCATATGAGCACTACTTTAAGCCCCAACTTCTGAACCAGCTCCGTGGGAAAGCAGTGGAAGAGGCTCCTTAGTGCTTGGGCTCTGGAAACCCAATGGGAGACACTGACTGTGGTCTGGGCCAGCCCAAACCCTTGTGACTATTTGGGGAATGAACCAATGGGAGTGTCTCCCTAACTCTCCCTTATTTTCTTTAAATAGATATATATTAACAAAATATTTCCCTGAGAAAGTCTATAAGGCACCAACTTTAATGCAGTATAACATGCAAATAAAACAAAATTAAGATTAAGCAATTCTAAAATTGAAAAATTTAGGGCCCAGCGAGATACTGTAGTGGTTAAGGTCCTCGCCTTGAACCCATCAGGATCCCATATGGACGCAGGTTCTAATCGCAGTGGCCCTGCTTCCTATCCAGCTCCCTGCTTGTGGCCTGGGAAAGCAGTCACGGACGGCCCAAAGCCATGTGGGAGACCTGGAAGAGATCCTGGCTCCCGGCCTCAGATTGGCTCAGCTCCAGCCATTGCAGTAACTTGGGGAGTGAACCATGGAACGGATGATCTTCCTCTCTGTCTCTCCTCCTCTGTATATCTGCCTTTCCAATAAAAATAAATAAATCTTTAAAAAAATTTTTTTAATTTAGCCTTAAATTATATATCTAAGACATAATATATAAGGCATGAAACATAAGTCTAACAATAAACAAAAATATCAATCAGTATTTATAGTAATCATTTTAAAATACATAAAAGTATTTTATCACACTACCACTAAATTATACTCGAGTTCTATCTAATTTATCTACAACAAAATATTTACCAATATCCTACTAGTATTGGTATAAAAATTGTTACATAAATATCTAAAAATATTTATACGAAATTTGTTCTCTTGATACTTTACAAACAAATAAGGATTTTACATCAAGTCCAAGCAATAAGCTTATGGACTTATGAATTAATTTCTTTGGCTGGTCCCTTTTTATCGCTTAGTGATTTTCTTTGTTCATTTTTGCTTTTGAGAAAACATTTTATGTCTTTTCATACATGCAAGACACATGAATGATACAATGATATATTCACTTCTAAAAATAAGTTCATTTAACTATCACCCTCCCAAAATTTCCATCCGAATATGTACAGTCAAAAAGTTTTTCTATTTAAATTCTTTCTTAAAAAAATCTAAACATTGCTTATTCACAGTTTAAAGAACACAAGACTTCCAGAAACATTGATTCACACATTGATAATCCAGCCTATTTTCAAAAACAACTGTAACTGAACCACCAGCATAGCAAAAACTTCCAATTTTAATCACACACCCACCCCAACACCTATGCAAGCCAACCCCCCCTCCGCCCCCTAAAAAGTGCCAGCGGTTCTACAGTAGCGGTTCCTGGGAGTAATCTGCGCAGGACTGGGCCTCTCTGTCTAGCATGGGCAAAGAGTCATCCCGCCTGCTCTCATCCCGCTCCCAGCCACCCCAGCCCGCTCCCAACCATCCCAGCCTGCTCCCAGCCTGCTCCCAGCCTGCTCCCAGCCCGCTCCCAGCCCGCTCCCAGCCATCCCAGCCCGCTCCCAGCCACCCCAGCCCGCTCCCAGCCCGCTCCCAACCATCCCAGCCCGCTCTCAGCCCGCTCCCAGCCCGCTCCCAGCCACAGAACAAACGGTTAGGTTTTAAAGTGTAACCGCAACACAAGTATCACAAGAATGTATGATTGTGGTATTCCCGCTCAAACACGAAATGTTTCAAATTTCCAACTGCTTTGTAGTCCACAAGAAGATGTTCCTTACTTGCTATAAATACCAAAAAAAAAAACCTGTCATTTTTCTGACACATTTTTTAAACTTAAAAACCAAAGAAATCCAAAAACCAACCTATACACAAACTATTTAAGTGTCCCTTAAAATAACTTGTAACCCATAACAATTTGTAACAAGAAACATTTAATACTTGGAAATTATATTAACAATGAGAGACCCGAAAACAAGCCAATTTAATCTAGCTGCTTAATTCACCAGGTAAAACACAGTGGCACATGTGAGCTTTCTGTTTAAGAACTTCAAAGTTAGTTTAGACAAAGCCTTTATTTTGGTCTATACTCTATCTTTCAAAATTTATTTATAATCAGATTAAAATGTTACTGTATAATTTATATCCAAGTAAAGAGCTATCATATTCAGTCCAAATTCCAAACGTGAAGCGTAGTTATTTACATTTTCCTAAAAATGTGTTGTCCCTGTCACTAAAAAAAAAAAAAAAAGCCAGCAATTTATATACTCAAGTTACAAAGGAAAGTTCCCTGAACAAGCACTTGAAACACAGAGTAACCCAGAGCTACCAGGGCCCTGGGAGTGTGAGGTCCCGCAGAATCAGCACACCATTACGACGCAGGCTTTAAAATTAAAACTACTTTCTGGTCCTGATGCTACATGTAGGTACAAAGCCTCCGTTACACCGGTGGGCCGTCGGCTACTGAAAAACCTCACACGAGATTTCCGACCCAGTAATCCCAGGCTGGAGAAGCAGTGTCTACCACAGCACACAGGTGTAAGCCTGGAGACTGCTGGGAGTTGGCACGCAGGAGGCACGCTAGCCACAGTCCACACCTGCAACCTAATTTTTGCTTCAGCATCCCTAGGGACTTCGAAAATATTTCTCGGGGTAGGTTGCAAAAGAATGCTTCCTCTTTTATTTTCATCTCCCCCATTATGATACAAAGCAAGAATGTATACATCTCTATCTACACAGGAAAACAATCTCCAAACGTTAAGAGCTAAAGCTTAAACATACACGCGTGCACGAACACACACACACACACACACACACACAGCATCTTCTTCCCAACTCTCCAATCGGTCTTCGTTCCACCTGTTTGTAAATGCACACTTGCACAACAAAACCCTTTGAGAGAGACACCGGGAGGGAGAGGCAGGCAGGCAAATTAATGCTCTGGAGTCATTATTCTTCCACCTAGGCCTGGGGGGGGAGGGGACAAAACAATGGATACTGAGGGGCTGGGGGGGTCGCCTCGGGCGTGGGGAGCTGGGGGCGGGGGAGCTGCAACACTTTTCCTCTAACCCCCACGGCTCTGGCGGCTCGGGTGCCAGCAGGTAGCTCAACCAGGCGGTCCTGAGTGGCTCCAACTCGTTTCACCGGGCAACACGCCCAAAGCCGCTTCACCACTCTTCGCCCAAGGGTCTGGGAGCGAAGGGGAGCGCGGCGGGGCGCAGTGGGTTTCGGGGAAGCGCGCGGGCAGAGACCCCACCCCGTCATCGTCGCCAGCCGCCGGCCCCCGGCCCACCAACGGGCACGGACCCCCGGCCAAGCCGGCCAAGCCGAGAGCCGGTGCCCCCGGCAGCCGAGAGCAGCGCCCGCCCGCCCGCGCCCGCGCCCGCGCCCTCGCCCCGCCGCTGTCCCGGCCGCCGCCGGCGCGCAAGGCCCGGCCCTGGCCGCTGTCAAGAGCCCGCCGCCCGCCTCGCTCCCGGCGCCCGGAGCTGCCGGCGACAGCACCCAGGAAAGCGGCGGCGGCGGCGGCGCCTCCCAGGGCCCCGGGCCCACGGGCCTCGCCCCGGCCCCGCGGGCTCGAGCCTGTCAGCGCGCGCCCCCCGACACACACACACACACACACACACACACACACACACACCTCACCCCCGCCCCCGACAACCAGTCCGACCGCCCGACCTCCAGGAAGCCCCGGCCCGCAGACACCCGCCGCCCCGCCGTACCGTCAGCAGCCCCGACTCCGCCATCCTCGGCGCTCGCCCTCCTTCCTCCTCCTCCGCCTCCGCCTCCTCCCAAGCGACGCTGCCCAACCGCCGCCCCCCGCCCGCCCCTCCCCCACTCGCCCCGCCCCGCCCCGGCCGCCCCTCCACACACGCTCGCCTCCTCCGCCCCGCCTCGCCCCTCCGGCGCGGGCTCGTCACTCGCTGGGCGAGCACGGGAGGCGGAGCCGGGGCTAGGGCAGCCGTCCAATCCGAGCGAGGCCTTGGCGCCAGCTTCCCTGTCTCCGCCCCTTTCCTTCCCTGCGCTCTCGACGCCGTCTCCCGCCCACAGGGCGCCGCTGGCTAGCCCAGCCACAGAGGAAAGCCTCCGGGAGGGTAGAGTGGCAACTCCCACCACTCCCTCCCCACCGCGGAAGTTGGTGTTGAAGCTACGGCAGCCATCATTGCTAATGGCGCCAGGAGTTTCCTGGTTTGCGGTCTCCGGCGTGACGTAGCTCCTCCGCCTAGTCTCGCCGTTACCCTGGGCAACGACCGAGACGTCCGGGGAGGGATGCCTCTATAGAGTGGTCCACAGATGACCAAAAAGTTGGAGTTGGGCACGTTAATTTCTACTGTAAACTGAAGACCCTGTCTCTTTGTCCTTGGCTTGCTGACGCGTCTGGCCTCTCATTTCAGTGGGTAAGTTTAGGATTTGCCCGGAAGTTGCATTGGGCACTTCCGAATAAGGTCATGGCAGGAGGGTGGGGACAGCCGCCGCCCGCACCCAGGGAGAGGCCGGGTCGGGAGCCGGGTTGCGAGGTGCGGCGAGGCATCCTCGGAGCCCAGGGCCGGGCTCTGGTCGGATGGCGCCCGGGGAGAGCGAGCGTGGGCGCACGGCCGCTTCTGCCGGGCGGAGGCTCCGTTCCGGGCCGGGCAGGCGGAGACCCGCCCTCCCTCCGCCCCGGGGCGAGGCCGTCCGACCGGCCGCCCCAGCCCCGCCGGAGCCTGGCCTGCCGACCACACCCCCGGACGGCCCCGGAGGGCCCTCGGCCTCCCCAGACGGCCGGCTCTTCTGTTAGCACGCCCCCTCTTTGTCCTCTGCTCCCAGGAGTTTCCGTGTCGGCCTTGGCCGCCCTCCTGAGAGCGGGCGAGCGGACCCGATCCTGCGCGGGTTGCCCCGAGGCTTGTGAATATTCATAAAAATACGCTAGCCTGTCACACTTTGTCTCGTGTGTGGTTCTCTCTGTAGGCTTGAGTGGAGAACTCTTGTCACCTTGGAACACCTGAGGCTGCAGGAGAAAGACTAGAACTTCAGGTAAATTCAGCATCATTGTATACCAGCCCAGTGCACCGGGAGCAGACAAAGCGTTCAATTCCTAGTCTCTTCTTAGTTCAGAGGCCCAAGCTGAGACGGACTGCTCTCTTTCTCTTGGGGGGATAACTCTGGAAGACTGTAGTGGTTGGTGCTTTGGAATCTTTTACCTTGGAGAAGGGCTTCTGTTTTTTACCTAACTACCATGTTTATTCCTGAATGGGATGGTTGGCATCCTACACATCTGCCTACATTGTAGGCACAACCGTACCCTGCACAAGCGTATTATTTTGATACATACTTACTGCAAGATTGAATAGATTGGTTGTGTCCTGGACGCCCCAGACACTGCCAGCCAAGTTTTAGGGACCTTCAGCGTATCAGAAATTCCGCACGGATCCTGCTCCTCAACTTTTTCTTGTTTCTCCTATGAAGTTTTTAAACATGATTTTTCCTCAAAATATTGAAAATGTGCATGTCTTTTCACAGATTTCGTTATTGTCAATTATTAGCAGGAAATTCTTACAAGGAAATGAGTAATTCTGTAATATTTTAAAATACTGTCCATTTGCAAAGCTTCCTGAATGATGCAAGAATATCTTTTATCCCACCCCAGCCCGAAATCAAGGTGCAGTTAAGACTGATGGATTTTATTTGGTCATTGTATCTTTTGAGTCTTATCAAAAACAGCTGTTTTTTTTTTTTTTCTTATCCTGTAATGTCATTTTGAAGAGTTCAAGTCATGAGTCATCTTCAAAAATAAGAGACGCCTCTTTTTCTTATTCCTTGCAAGCTAGAAATGAGCCAAGAGGCTTAATTAGATTAAGTTTAACCGCTCCTCCCCCAGCCCCCAGCACAGTTCGTCAGTCCCGGTGAACTCTTCTCAGATACAGGCACCCTTGCCGTGAGGTGCTGCTTCAGTCCACCTCGCGTCTGGCCTGTTCCGCCCTCCACAGTGTCCCACAAAGAGGAGGTCAGCAGTTGCTCTCCTGTGTGTAGAGAGCATGTGAGCGCTTCGACCTGGCAACACAGGCTGCCTGCAGTGAAGGACTGTTGCTACCGATTTGCCCATACTTGGAGCTGATGTCATGGAGTCCTTCGCGGAGTGTACTGATGTCAGCATAGTTTCAAGAGTTTCAACTCCAGGCGCCCTGCACACTGTTGAACAATGTGTGGGCCCTGCAATTCAAATACAGACGAATCCTGATGCTATCAAAGTGAATACCAAAGCAACTACCGGCCATTTGGGCACATTCCAGTTTAGGCAATGTTATTTTTCTCCCTGAATTTTTCTTGCAAGTCCTAATTGGTCCTGGTTGTTCTTGCAATAGCTTTTTCGTAGAATTAAGTAGAGCTTATTAAAAATTTCAACATCGAGATCATATTTAACACCTTAGTACATTAATGCTTTCTGCCCAATAGATAGAGAAATGCTTGTGGAATTTACTGCATAAACACAAGAGGAGCGTTTCTGCCAGCTGCCATGCTCGTGTACTCCTCTTAACATGCATTTGATCATTTTAAGATAAGTGAAAGGGGAAAAAATGTTCTGTGAAGCCAGAATCTCCTACCTAGGTAAAGAATGCTTTTAGCTGTCATATTAAAATGTAAAATGTGCTTTATCACTGCTTCGTGTAGTTGAAAATTTTAGGGGACTTTAAAAGAGTTAAGTTGACTGGATTCCAGGAAGGCACATACCACACTAAACAAGCCCTCTAGTTTCCGGACGAGACTTGTTTCAGAAACCAGCTCAGCTGCTGGCTGGGAACTTAGTCTCCTCAGCCTCTTCCGTGTTCAGTGGAGCCGGAACACCTCTCCAGATTGCTGAACAGTTAACTCAGTGTGAAGTGTTTCTGCTTGGTGTACCCACATGGAAATGTGGTCAGTGGATGGCCGTTATTAATAATTCACAGAGCAGTCCAGTTGGAATACGTAGGGGGCATTAAAAATTTAGTGAGTGGTTGAGAGGGTCTAGTATTTAATCCGGTGTAATATATTGGGGAGTTAATTAAACCTCAGCAATTCTGATTTCTGAAGGGCTCCAGAATTGGGGCCACCGTATTATAATGCAGGTGATTTAAGGATCCGACTTGGAGAAACACTGTGTAAAATGCCAAGCGATTCTTTCTTTGTATATTACTGATATAGCCAAGTAAACATAATCTCAAGTAATAAAAGGCTAATAGCTAGCAGCTTCAGGTCCACTGTCTAATACTGAATTTTGAAACAGGGTAACTCATTAGGAAAAGGCCTTTTCGCATCAGTAACATGCCATTTTCTACTAACGTGATGGTAGTGCCTATGGATGGGTAGAGCAGGGCCCTGGGCATCGTGCAGGTTCCCCCAAGAACAGCCTGTGCAAACGCCCGGGCACACTGTAGAAGCTAGGCACTGCACATTCTATTCTCATGAGTCGGAATTCATTAGCCAAATTGAGCATGTTGCAACATTTTTCTAGCAGCAGCATAGAATCTACTAGACTTTCCAACTGTATGGCACATGTTGCTACTCGGCGTCTCCCGATGAACATTATCAATCCAATGAAACCCTCTGCCGCCATGTGGGCAGCTGCGAATGAGCTCCACTCCTTTGTGTTGGCCAAGAAACTCATTCTTCCTGGGCTCAGTCTTTTATCCTGTTAGATTACAGGCAGGGCGTGGTTTTGAAACTTCATCTGTCAGGCAATCCCAAAGTCTGGGATAAGACAAAAGCTAAACACTTTCGTTATTGCTGTCATGTCTGCCACCCTCCACTCACAAGGTGTACCAGGCAGATTGGATTTACATTAAAGGAGCTAATTTCATATCCACACACACACAAAATTCCTTTACTGTGCTGAACCTAAATCCATGCTGTGCTGCTAGGGCCACTTTCAGTGGCCACAGATTGCATTGTTGCTTCTCAGTGAGCAGTAAGGAGAAAATGATACAACGTGGCATCACCATGTATGTGGGAACCTGTGTTTTACTCGAGTGCCCGTATTGGCTAGGCAGGTAAGGTCTAGGGAAAGCAGTTAACAGAAGTGAGAGCGGCGGAACCGGAGCCGGGGAGCATGCGCTCAGCGGGACTGAGCCTTCGCTTCCAGCCCTGGCCAAGCCGTGCCATGTGTGACCACGACTTCCTACTGCCACACTTACCATCTAGAGAGAAAATTTTGTTCTCACATGAGATCTCCGGGTTTTTACACATTCATTAAAGTACTTTTAAAATCCAGCAAACCAATAAGACATTTAACTGTGGCCAGAACTGCAGGCTATGAGCCCTGTCTTTCCTCCATGTAAACATGGCTGGTCCTTTGGTGGAGAATTCAATAATGATGCTTATGTAGCGGAGCAAGCTTCCATTGTCCTGATTTTTTTTATTCTTTGCTGGCAACCTAAAAGCACTTTCTTAACCTTGACTTATATTATTATAAAGGTTTCCTTTATTATTTTTTAAATTATTTATTTGAAAGGTTAAGTTTAGAGAGAAAGAAGCAGAGAGATCCTCCATCCCTAAACGGCCACGTCAGCCAGGCTGAGCCAAGCTGAAGTCTGGCACTGCACCCACGTCTCCCACATCTGTCACCTGGGTGACAAGAACCCAAGTGGGTGGGCCCTGTCTGCTGCCTTCCCAGGCACATCAGCAGGGAGCTGATCAGAAGTGGAGCAACCAGCACTTGAACCCACTGTGCCACAAAGCTGGCGCAGGAAAATAGGTTTTTAAAGAAAACACTTAAATATGTCATGCTGTCTTAGAGATACTGCAGTGTTTATAAGGACTCAAAGATTGTAGAGCCACAAGCTACCTTCATGGTCATCCAGAACAAGACCTTTGGTGGTGGTAGGGAAATTTTTCTGTTGACCTTTGCAATCCCAGACAGATTATATACAGAATTTTTTAAATATATATTTATTTTTATTGGAAAGGCAAATTTACAGAGAGAAGGAGAGACAGAAAGATCTTCCATTCACTTGTTCACTCCCTGAATGGCCACAATGGCCAAGCTGAGCCTGCCTGAAGCCAAGAGCTAGAATTCTTCTTGGTCTCCCACACGGGTGCAGGGTCCCAAGGCTTTGGGCTTTCCTCCACTGGTCTCCCAGGCCACAATCAGGAAGCTAGATAGGAAGTGGAACATCCGGGATACGAGCCAGCACCCATGTGGCATCCTGGTGCTTACAATAGGAGGATTAGCCAATTGAGCCATCATGCCAGGCCCTTACATACAAATTTTTTTACATTGAACAGGTCACATCACTAGTTAGCAGTGTGGCCAGAGTGCAACCCTGTCTTAAAGTATAAATTTAAATAAAATTTATGAGAAAAAAATGAATTTATAAACTTCAACACAAGATTTGTTTCACTTATTACATACTATTTTACTACTCTGACTCATTTAAAACATTTGGGACACTAAAATACAATGAGACATTCCATTACAAACCTTAAAAACAGTGTTTTGGGTCCAGGGTGTGGCATCGGAGTTCAACTGCCACCTGCATTGTCAGCATCCCATATGGGCGCTAGTTGGCGTCCCAGCCACTCCACTTCCAATGCAGTATCCTGCTACTAGCCAAGAAAAAGCAACAGAAGGTGGCCCGGTCCATAGCCTAGTGGCTAAAATCCTCGCCTTGCACACACTGGCATCCCATGTGGGTGCCAGTTCTAAACCCAGCAGCTCCCACTTCCCATCCAGCTCCCTGCTTGTGGCCTGGGAAAGCCGTGGGACCCACTTGGGAGACCTGGAGGAAACTCCTGGCTGCCAGCTTTGGATCAGCTCAGCTCAGCTCCAGCCATTGAGGCCATTTGGGGGGTTGAACCAGCAGATGGAAGATCTTCCTCTCTGTCTTTCCTCCTCTCTGTATATCTGACTTTCCAATAAGAATAAATTTTAGAAATCTTAAAAAAAAAAACCACACAGAAGATGACCCATCTCATCCATGTCGGTTTCTACACCCCATCTTTGTTCCTGAATTAGGTCTGACCCAGCACCAGCAGTTGTGGCCATCTGGGAAATGAACCAG